AAACTTGCTGAGGGTGCAAGTAGCAAACCAGTATGTGAGAAACGCCCAGCATCCATCACCCCTTCCCAGCACACACCTGGTGTAGTGTGGAGGGGCCCATATGGACAGCAGGAAAAATGGCTCCGGGAGAGCACAGAGTTGTACAACGAAGCCAATTCCCAGCTCGGTGCTGGGGAGAGAGTAAAGATCAGTGAAGGCCTTACCCCATGGAGCTTCATGTAGAGGCCGCAGGCATTACAGACGGGCTCCCCCTCGGCGTTTCTGCGCCAGAGTGTGGTTGTCGTGGTGTGGCAGTTGGCACAAGAGAGGCCGACGCGGCGGGAAGCCGACTGCGAGGGAATGCAGAGGAAGACAACACATCAGCCCTCCACTGCAACTACCGGCAGCATCTCAGATCCCAACAAGCTCGCTCCAGCACGCCTCAGGTTTTCCTCTCCTCTTGCCTCCCTTCTCATTCTGCTGCCTTCTTCTCTTCTCTCAGTGCAGCAGAAAACACAACTCCCTTTCTCTTCCCCTCTTGCCTTTTAGCTTCTGCTCCACTGCCTTTCCACTGCCTCCTGCCTGCCAGTGCTGCACGGGCACCTCAGCTGTCCTGCGGCATCTCAGATGGTGCCAGAGACATCACCTGAACGTCACCCCAGATATCAGTGGGTCTAGCAGCCGCTTCGGGACCCACTTCACATGCACACATCCACACTAAGGTGTCTGGATCTCAGACCGTCCTGCCCTTTCAGGCTCCCAAGCCCTTCACCTTCCAAGCATCATGGCATATCCCAAGAAGACATTATCAATGCCATGAATGTTACATACTCCTTGCTGGGTTGGCCTGATGTTGTTCGTGTGGCTTGAGGGGGAGATAAGAAAAAGAGTGCTTCCAGCAGCATCGTCTTCCTAAAGATAAAGAGGGATAATTAATAGGAGTTCCCACTAATGAGGCAGTTTAGGGAGCAGGCCTTTTGAAGTACTCTTTCTGGGTGAGCTGGTTTAACCAGGCTCCAAAGGCCACAGGAGGAAGACAAGGAGCTTAAAACCGTACAAAATACCAGTTTTGAGATTGGAAGCAGAGTGGGAGGCAAGGGAAGAAAAAGCCACATCCTCCATGCCTGCCTGGCTCTCCCCAGCATCCTTCAAAGCACAGCTCTGAAGAGGCTGAGGATAAAGCCTGAACAGGCAGGGGTTAATGTCCCTCTTTGCTTGCTGATAACCTGGGACTGAACAGAAGTGCTAGAGCTGCGTGAAGATGCCTGTTCTTGCAGTGCCTGAAGAGGAGCCTACAGGGAGGAGATCTGGTGCACTGGGACATCTACCCATCATCTCTGCAGACCTGAACAGCATAGTCAGCTGCTGTGCATGGGAGGGGACAGACCCCGGGGAACAGGGGCCTGGCTGCTGCCATTTCCCTTGTCATTTTTGCCACAGCTTTCTCTCTGTGTCTGTTCCCTCCTAATCCAACAGGCTCAGTCAATCTACGGCAGCAGGACAATAAAAATGGAGATTCAAGTACTTCTTAAGACTTCCAAAACTGGAAGCCCCTTTGGTGCAGGGAAACCGGACACTTTTATTGTAACCTCACCATGTATTAGCTTCAATCATCAGCCTTTGTAAGTGGACTGAGAGCTTAAAAGAGAGCTTGCAGCAAAGTTCTCTCTTTGCAGGGCTCTCTGGCATACCTCAGACTCCAAAAATAAAGGGGTTGCACAGTGGCAGATTAAACCCAAATACTTATAGCGAATATATTTATTCAGGTAGACCAATTGTCATTGCTTTAACCACACTCCTACGTTGCATTCCTAGACATATCCTCCTTTTCTTCATGGAAGCTCTCTTCAGCAGAAAAAGCAGGCATTGGGTCATTTTTGCAAGTCCTTCAGATTGCCAGCGGCCCAGCCAAGGGGCAAGAATGCACATACAGATCTGCACAGCTCATGCATTTGTATTTCTCATGTTGTTTTCCAAGCCCCAAGGCTGTGCAGAGATAACTGCATGCATTGCTGCTTGCTGTGAAGGACCAAGCCTGGCACCCAACGGACCATTCCTGACTACACAGATCATAGAATCACAGAATGGTTTGGGTTGGAAGGAACCTTAGAGACCATCTAGTTCCAACCCCCTTGCCATGGGCAGGGACACCTTCCACTAGACCAGGTTGCTCCAAGCCTCATCCAGCCTGGCCTTGGACACTTCCAGGGATGGGGCATCCACAGCTTCTCTAGGCAACCTGTGCCAGTGCCTCCCCACCCTCTCTGGGAAGAATTTCTTCCTGACATCTAATCTCAATCTCCCTCTTTCCGTTTAAACCCGTTACCCCTTGTCCTGTCACTACAGGCCCTTGTAAAAAGTCTGAATCCAGCTTTCTTGTCGGCCCCTGCAGGTACTGGAAGTCCCAGGGGTAACAGGTAGACCAGTAAATGAAAGGGGGCAAGGTCTTGGGTGCCAGGGTGCAGGGATGGGTGCCTGGGTGCCTGGCTCGGTCCGTGCAGTGCCTAGGAAGGATTTTCACAAGAGGGCGCTGGGTGGCTGTGGCTGGGGGCAGCGCTCAAGCTGCCCGTGTCACTTTTGACACTTGCAGGGGATGGCTGGGTTTGAACACACACAGGTCTGGGAGATGGAAAGGGCAGGGCAGGTTTAGGATGGAGCCTCATGGAAAACAAGGAATGGGGAAGTACGTTCCTTAGGGATGGCTTGTGGGCTTCTTTTTGCCAGGGGTCATGATGGACCCATGTCCCTGGGGCACAGACTGGAGACTTTCCCAAAACTCCTCACCAAAACAGGCAGGCACAGGCAAGATATCAACACCGAGATGTTCCCATCCCCCGGGTTACCCATGCATGCCTCACCGGCTTTGGGTTGCCCTGACCTGCCCCACAATCTCTGCTTCAGCTCGTCCAAAGGAGCAGGGAGCAGGGTATCCAGAAATGATGGCCAGTCACCGTGAAGTGAGAGGGGTCACCCAGCAGGGACCGTGGAATAATGACCGTGAGGGTAAGAGAAGATGTACTGGTGGTGTGGTGGAGCTGGAAGGGGTTTCCATTCATCCTAATATGCCTACAGGGATACTAAAGCAAAGATACTTTTGCTAAATTGACACCACAGTACTGCCCCTGTGTCCTACAGCCCCTTCCACTGCCTGGCCTGTGTGCAGAACTGGTCTGGAGGGTACAAGGTCTTGGAGTGCACCAATGTGGCTTATTTTGGAAATTTGGACCAAAACCAGCTAGGTTGGGCAAATGGGAACCCAAGGAGTTGAAACACCCCTGGCATCTCCACCTAGCCGAGGTCTTTCTGCCTCCTCCTCACACACAGCCTTGCCCCACGTGCGTGTTGTGAGCTTGACTTACCAGCCTCCTCTGAGGTTTGAACAAGGGCCGGTTGATGCCGTTCATCTTGTGGTAGAGCCCGCAGGCGTTGCAGAGGTAGTGCCCCGTGCCATCTCTCCTCCAGAGCGGGGTGGACATGGCCCCACAGTTGACACATTCTCGCCCCTCTGAATAATCATCAAAAAATTCTGCTGCCATGATGAGAGAGAAGGGGAAAGGCTTGGTTAATTAGGCAGCCGCACATTTAATTTCTGATTCTCAATATTTGAGTCCAGAAGTTATGTTTCAAGAAATCACAACCATTCTGATTTTATAGGGTATAAGAAAGAGCTTTTCCTGTCTCAAGGAACCCCCTGGGATTACTGGGAAGAGGAACTCCTTTCCCTGCCATACAGTGTTGGCTGCAGGACTTCTGTGGCAGCAGCATGTGCTGGGACACAGATATAAAGAGACAGAAATAGAAACCTTCCCTTCTGCTTTGACATTATCCAGTTTTCAAGATTGGACATAGCCAGGGCAAGCAGATTGGGGCAGGCAAATGGCTGTGTTTAAAATCAAGACAAATTGCCTGCGACCATGAGCAAATGCAAGCCTAGACCCGCGAAGCAGAACTGCCCAGAGATCAGACAGCTGCCTGAGTATCTCCTGACATGGCTCAAGCACATGTGGGCAGGGAAAACTATGCCTGTGCACCCGGCTCCCCACCCATCCCATGCCAGCTCCCTCAGCCCCTCTGCAGAGGGGAATGGCTGCAGATTGCCATGGGGGAGAGACATTCACCTGCCTTCACCCTATTCTCTGCGGGAGAAGCATCTCCTGAGCTACAGGATTCCACGTGTGCAACCCCAGCTGGGGCTGTCAGACACCACCGGGCATTCAGAGACTCAGATTTGCCACAGATCTCTACCAGGATTGATGTCAATCTCCAGGGCTTGGTGCATTCACCCACCACGTTCACAGTTCACCCTCCACCGGTGCCCGGCTGCAGCTGTGACGTGAGGACAACCTCTCTGGGCTGGGCCAGTCCAATCCCTTTGGCTTGGCAGATCCATATCATCTGCAGGGCGGTGCAGAGGTCAGCACAATGCACCTTGACTGCATCATCAATTGGAAAGACTGCTGACCCTTGGATACAATGACCTCGGGAAGCCACGAACTTCCCCTAATAAAACATAAGCATCAGCTATAGGCCAAGCTGAGGTGTACATATAGCTTCAACCAGCTGCCATGGACCTTGAAAATGTATGTTCCTGATGGTGATCCCACATGGAGAGTATCAGCTATCGAGTTCAGCTTGGGCATGTATTTGTTTTGTTACAAACCCATTCCTTCCACATGGACACCTTCTGTTGTGGGCACCAGAAAGGCAATAGTAGATGGTAAAATAATTGGGGAGAAGAAGAAGGTGACAGATGACAGCAAGGGGCTCCATTGCTTAGCATAGGCTGGGAATAAACTAGGCTGCTGGAAAGATTCCCAACAAACTGCAGCACACAGGAGATGTTTGGAGGATGGGAAGAGATTTGCATCAGGACGTTCAGCCATCGCAGACCAGCATAACATCAATAATGTTTTTGTGCATCTTGCTATATTTTGTGCTTGTCCACCTGCTTATTATACAAATATCTCAGCTTTACGCTGGAAGATAACAGTTCCCCAAACAGCAAACTGTCAAAATGTGGCTTCTTGCTGATCTGTGTCTCAAGTCCATGTGGATTTTCTGATACCTAATGAGGGTTATGTTCTAACATCAGCCTTATTTTCTCTTTTCTCCAGATGATTTTTTGAAAATCTGTAGGAAACTACATAACCACGGAACAGCCAAAGGATTAAAAAATTGCTAAAGTGGTTCCAATAAACAGAGACACAGAGATAAAGATTCACGTGAGCCTAATTCTCCCTAGAAAACCAGGTTAAAATGGCAAGAGATCATACTGTGTGCCCATGGGGAAATGATAGAAAACAGTAAATAAGTGTACCCAAGAGGCTCTGGAGCCAGAAAGGAAAGAATCGAGCATCTTCGCAGCAGTTTAGGAAAATCTCATTGCCTTTGAGCTATTCTGGTGGTTTAGGAATGATGGGAATCCCTTCAGGTGATTTTTGTACACAGAGATTCAGTGATACCACAATCATAATGCCTCACTTTCCCCTTTAAAATCACAACTGAGTCACAGCCAAAATCTAGATCAAATAAAATTCCTTTGAAAAGAGAAGGGATTGGAACAGCTGGTCAGGAAAGAACTCATTTCCTTGAAAAATCTCAAGAAAGGAGAACATTTCACTATTTTTTTTCACCTCAGAAGTTGTTGAGGTTTTTGATTATAATTTTCCAAAGAAAAAGCCAAATTATTTTCACAGTAACTTTTGTCCTGTGAGAAAATCCATTCTTCTTTGAAAATAATTCAATACAAAGTTGTTGACATAGTCCATGGAGAATTTAGCAGAGTAGAGCTAATCCAGAGGTAATCCAAAGGTAATAGTTAAAACTCTTGACCGATTTGAGTTGTGTCTGTGACTAATTACAAAATATCATCTCTCCTGGAGATTTTCCCACCAGGAAACCACAATGTGAAAGTTTTTAATCAAAGAAAAAGGAGAAAATTCCTAACAGTCCCTCAGAAATGTTAAGAGTTGGACTAGCTCTTGAGTAAGAAAGTCCCTCAAAATGGGTATGATAAGAAATGTCCAGTATGAGTACACTTCTCATTTTAGAAGAAAACGGAGGGTGAGGAGTTGAAACCAGGCAAAGTGTTAGTCTCTTATTTTCTGACAATAATAAAATTTACGACTGAATATTGAGCGTTATTTGCTAGGGGTTTGTGTGACACTCAGCTCCACTGCCCACTTCATTCTCACTGTTGGTTTCAAAACACCAGCGCAAAGCCGTCTTGAGACCTGCTCTCCTTTTTCATCCGTATTTGAGCTATAGTCTTCACTACTTGTTTGGTGGGTTTGGGTTATTTTTTTCCGTTTCTGTGGGATTTGGACTGGATCTTCTCTCCTGGGGGACTTTAACTGGTTTAAGTTTCCAAAAGTCCTCTTCTGCTTCTGTAGTAATAGCATTTGTGTGATTTTCCCCTCTCAACTGCAGACAAAGGTGATCCTTGTGAACATTAATAAACAGGAATTACTGGTGCTCGATACGGGGACAAAACAGACTTTGTTCCCAGGGCACATGGAGGCTCCACGCAATGGGTGGCTCTCCCTAATCACAGCCCTCGTGGGGCGATATCAGATGGGTGCGTCCCCTGCGTGCACCACCCAGTGCTGAGTCAGAAGATGACATCTAGAGAGTGCAACCTCATTAAAACTGTTTCTGGAGCCCTGTCAGAGCAGAGGCAGCTCCTTGAACTTGAGACATTTCACCTGGAGGAGAAATATCCTCTCCTGCCTCAATGTGTGCTTGAAGATGGCAAAGGATGTGGCTTGGACACTGCTGTCTCAGGGAAGACGACGTAGGCTTATTGCATGCCCATTAATGAAAGAAGGGCATTTTGGCACCAATGGAGAAGTGGAAGGCAAAGGACTGGATTTCTTTCTGAATGAGGTGCTATAATTTCACAGCATCACTAAACTCAGGGGTGAAGTCACCAAGGGGAGCTTTCTGAGCCAACCTTCTGACCACACAGCCAAGACAACCCAACTGCTCTTGAAAACATGAGTGTCTACAAAATAATGAGCAAGTGTCACCTGAAGAGCTGCAGCCCCTGCAGTTTGACGTGGGTGGATGTCCAAGACCTAGGAAACCCAAATGTTCCCAGGGCTCAGAGCCCACAGGAACTGTGATCCACTGGCAGGCTCAGCTATATTGCGCATGGAGGTCAAGTGCACTGATTGTTTAATTTGCCACTGGTATTAATAACAGGGATTAAGGTGCGGCAGACTGGAGGCTTCCCGGGAAAAAAAAGCAGCAAAGTCTTTTCTTGGCTTCCATCTCGGGGCTGGAGCTTTAAATCCTGGCATTATGAGATCCCCTGACACTTATTCCTTGTACTTAGCAGCCGGGAAAGGAAACGTTTATTCAGGCAGCAAATTGCCCGAGCAGCTCCCAGAGGGCCCTGAACAATGAGGGGGGAAGGAAAGGCTCCCCCAGTCGCACTCAGGGCAATAATTTCCGTTCCGTGGCACAGGAGCTGCTGCCTGATAATGGAGATTTATGGGTCCGTCTGGTGACCTCTGTAATAGCCTTTCTGCTGGAGAGATTTACTCCCTCTCCCCAAGACAGGTACGGGCAGCACTGGGACAGGGCTGAGGAGAGGATAACATTTACTGGTTAGGCTGGGAAGAACACAGACCATGGGTTCTACAGCCCCAAGTGCCTTTGTCTAGCCCTTATCTTGGATAATATCAGTGCTGGGAGCATTCAGTCCTTTTTATGGGTTGGGTCCCTGGTGTTGACTAATGATAATGGCCTTCTACTTAATTCTTCGAAAGACCCTACCTTTAGTCCATGAAGGAGCTTCTCACATGAGAGCAGATCATGAAGTCTCACTGAGTGACCCGGCCTTTGGAGAGGATGGATTGGGTCCTGTCTCTGTCCCTGTCTCCTGTCCCTGTCTGCTTGCTGTGTAAAAGGAGATCTTTTTCCCCTCACACCTACTCTTGATGAGGTCTGAAAGGTCCCCAGGTCAGGAAATGTCACTTGTTTGTTGCACAACAGTCTCCTAATCTTGGGTGAGGCCTTGAGCATGCTAATGTCAGAAATTCTTTCCACAATGGGACATTCAATCCCCAGGGAGCCAGGAGTAACTCCTAAATGGGGTGCTAGGGTCTGGTTGGGAAAAAGCATTCTTGGATATGGCCCCTCATGGCTCTTAGTCATTGGGAGTGGTCCTTCACACCCACCCCCGGGTCTGCAAAGATCAACTGGTATGGACAATGCAGGGTTTGACAAGAAAGCAGATCTGAGCACCGCCAGCCAGCCCACACCTACGGGCACTTTTTCCAGCATGGCTTGGACATGATGTCACCTCTAACCAAGGACACGGCCCACCCAAAGTCTTTTGCCTTCCCAACCACAAGAATCAGATTCCCTCTTGCAACCAAGTCAGCTGGGGATCAGAGGGAGGTTGCCCAAGACTTATGTCTGAAGTGTGGCTTGAACTGCCTTCTCTGGGTCTTTCCATCACCTCTGCAAACCCCAGCTCTGCCAGCTTGGTGGTATGTCCATTCCTAGGTCCAGACCTTCTGG